TTTTGGAGAAAGTTCCATGAGCTACAGAAAAGAATGTGTATCGCTGGTTGTTGTGTGAAATACTCTGTAGATATCAACCATGTCTATTTGTTATAACATGTGGAGTAGCTCTGAAATTTCTTTGTCTGGATAACCTATCTATTGGTAATAGTGGGGTATTTAGGTCTCCCACTAACACTGTGTTAGCGTCTATCTGTGCTATTAGGGCCATTAGAGCTTTTTTTTAATGTAGATGGGTGCGCCTGTTTTTGGTGCATATATATTAAGGATTGATATTTCCTCTTGAAGAATTGTTCCTTTAATTAATATGAACTGACATTCATTGTCTCTTCTGATTGATTTTAGTCTGAAGTCTACTTTGTCAGATATGAGTATAGCTACTCCTGCTTGTTTGTGAGAAAACACAAACTTATTTGTGGGAAAATTTTTTTCCATTCTTTGACTCTAAGCCAGTGTTTATTTATTTCTTTTCAGTTAGAATAGTCTCTTGTAAGCAACGTATGGTTGGGTCTTGGTTTTTAATCCGATTTGCTCTTCTATGTCTCTTTATTTGGGCACTGAAGCCATTTACATTCAGTGTTAATATTGAGAGGTGGCTGTTGTTTCCAGTCATTTTTGTTTCCTTGTTGTTGTGTTTTATCTTTTCCTTGTTTACTGGTCTGCTTGCTCAAAAGGGTTCACTCTTTCTTGAGTCTGCCTGTCTTACTTCTTCTATATGTAAAAGTCCTTTAAGTATTTTCTGTAGTACTGGCTTGGTGGTTGCAAATTCCTTTAGTTTTTCCTAGTTGTGGAAGATTTTAATTTTTCCTTCAATTAGGAAGGTAGTTTTGCAGGGTAGACTAGTCTAGGTTGACAGTTGCTTTCTTTGAGGGCCTGCATTATGTCTTTCCATGACCTTCTTGTGTTTAGAGTTTGAGTTGAAAAATCTGCTGTTATTCTAATGGGTTTGCCTTTATATGACTTGTCTTTTCTCTTTTGCTGCTTTCCGAATTCTTTCTTTGTTCTGTGTGCTGAGTGTTTTGATTGTGATGTGTCTAGGTGTGTTTCTCTTTTGGTCCTGACAGTTTGGTGTTCTGTAAGCTTCCATACCTGGGTGATTCTCTCTTTCTCGAGGTTAGGGAAGTTTTCTGCTATTATTCTGTTGAATAGGTTGTCAATGCCTTTAGTTTGTATCTCCTCTCCTTCTTTTACACCCATGATTCATAGGTTTTGTCTTTTCATGGTGTTCCAGATATCTTGCATGTGCCATTCGTATTTTCTTAGCATTCTTTCATGAACTTTTACTGTTTAGTCTAGTTCTTCTACTTTGTCTTCTGTTCCTGATACTGTATTTTCAACTTGCTCCACTCTGTTCACCAAGATTTCAATTGTGATATTTATTCTGGATATTGAGTTGTTCATTTCAGATTGATTATTTTGTAGGGTTTCCATATATTTTTTATTTCCTCTTTAATGTCCTGGATAGTTGTCTTAATTTTATTTATCTGATTGTTTGCATTTTCTTTGAGCTCATTTAATTGTTTATTCATGTCCTCTTTGAAGTCAAATACTAACTTTTGTGTTTCTTCTTTGAGGTTGTTAATAATTTTCACTATTATTTTTTGGAATTCATTATTTGATATTTCTTCTTCTATGTAGGTGTTTGGATCCTTAGTGGTAGAAGTGGCTTTTGATGGAGAGCGGTTGTCTTGCTGTTCATTCTTTGTTGAGATTTACGCATCTGGAGTTGTTTTTGGTTAGGGTTTAAACTCTTTTGCCCCTGTAGTTGACGCTTTGAGTTATTTTTTTTTTCCTGAAGCTCCAACATTGCTCCTGAGAGAGTTTGTGTACTGGATATGTTACCTGATTATCTCTTTTCTCCCCTCACTGGGGAATCTGGCGTTCTCACTCTTTGATGGGGAGTGAGTGCTCTCTTGCTGTCAGGGACAGTGGGGAGGCTGGGCCTCCGTGCTCTGTGAGGAGGAAGCCTCCTGGCACTAGCAAAATAGCAAGGCCTGGAGCCTTGGGTTCACTAGTTGAGGGTACCTGTGGGGCCACAAAGCCAGTGGGCTTGAATTGTCTGGTGCCCACAAGACAGCAGAAGTGCTGGAGTTTGCTTGCATGGGGTGTGTGCTCCCAGGAGTCACAGAAGCTTCTGCAGGTGTGAGAGAACAAAGCCTGTGGGCAGTGAGAGTTCCACGGCCTGATTTCCCGCATGGGCTTCAGGGAGCACAGTTCAGTGGCTCTGCTGCTTGCTCATGAAAGCAAAGCCTGTGGGCAACGGGAGTTCTGGGGCTCAATTTTCTGCAAGGGCTTCAGGTAGTGTCTTCTGTTACCTGTGAAGCAGCGGGAGCCATGGGACCTGTTTACACGGTGCCTAGTGTCCCTGGTGTTTCAGGGTGAAGGTAGTAGGTTGTGTATTGGGGGGAAGTGTGGAGCTCCAAGTTCCTGTGTGTGCCTGGGAGTGGGACTTATCACCAAGTTATGGAGCTTAGAGCTGCATGCCAACTTCAGGGGTGGGGGATCAGGAGTGTTGAGCTGTGATTCATTCTTCCCATTCTTCCCATGGTTAGTCATTTCTCTATTTGCAGATTTGGAGAGGGCTTTACTTCTTGCTGGTATTTGACCCTGTGGGTGCCTTTTAGGGTTCTCTGATCTTCCTTTTTTGGGCTGGTTGTTTACTGTTGGGCCATAGGAATGTCAATAATCAATCGTCTTGCTCTGGATCCCTCTGTCTTGTTGTTTCATTCTGTGTTGTATTTATGCATCTGGAGCTGTTTTGGGTTAGGGTTTTAATCCCTTGTGCCCCTGTAGTTGGGTTTGTTTTTTTTTTTTTTTTTGTCCTAGAGCTCCAACAGTTTTCCTCAGAGAGGGGTATTCTGGATATGTTACGTTTTGCAGGGTTCTTGTTGTGGTGCCAATTACCTCTTTTCTCCCCTCTGTGATGAGGCTGGGTTCCCACTCTGATGGGTGCACAGGGGCTCTCCTGCAGTCACAGTGGGGAGCGCTGGGTCTCTGTGTACTGTGGGAGGAAGGCTTCCTATCACACAGAGGAGCAGATTGCCACTCAGTGGAGGAGCTGGGGTTCCAGCTCTTGGACAGGAGAGACGGGACTTTCCTGCAGGGAGGTGCAGTGTGAAGCGCTGGGATCCTGTGTACCTTGGGGAAGTGGGCCTTGTGGTGCCACCTGCATAGTAGCAGGTTATAGTTTTCCTCCCCTCAGTGGGGAATCTGGCATTCTCACTCTTTAGTGGGGGAGTGTGGGCTCTCCAACTGTCAGGCACAGTGGGGAGTGCTGGGGCTTTGTGAACCTTGGGAGGCTGGCATCCTGGCAGCTGCAGAGTAGCAAATTGTCACTCAGTGGAGTAGCTGGGGTCCCAGCTCTTAGACAAGGGAGACTGGATGCTTCTGTAGGCAGGTGAGTTGGGAAATGCTGAGCCTCTGTGCACTTTGTGGAAGCAGGCTTTCTGGTGCTGTCCACAGAGTAGCAGGTTGTAGCTTTCTTTCCCTCAGTGGGGAACTTGGCATTCTTCTTTTTTGATGGGGAGCAGGGGCTCTCCAACTGTCAGGCACAGTGGGGAGCGCTGTGCCTCTGTGTATCTCAGGAGGCAGGCCTTCTGGTACTACTCACTGAGCAGTAGGTTAAAGCTTTCCTCTCAGTGGAGAATCTGGTATTTTTACTCTTTAATGGAGAAGTGGTGGCTGTCCTGTGTGAAAAGTGCTGGGCCTTTATGTGCCTTAGGGAAGCAGGTGTCCTGGCACCCATAGAATGGCAGATTACCATTCAGGAACTGGCTTCTCACTCTTTGACTGGGAAGTGGGGGCTCTCCCTTGGGAGGGTTTGGTGGTTATCACTGGGCCTCCGTGCTCTGTCGGGAGGAAAGCCTCCTGGTACCAGCAGAGTAGCAAAGAATGGAGCCTGGGGTTCACTTGGTTTGTGGTGGTGGGCTCCTGGCACTGAGTAGCACATAAAGGGGGCATGTGAGGCATCAATGCCAGCAAGCTTGAATCATCTGGTGCCCACAGGGCAGCAGAGGCCCTGGGGTCTACTTGTGTTGGGATGTGGGCTTCCAGGAGCCATGGCAGCTGCTGCAGGCATAGGGGAACCATGCCTTTGGGCAGCAGAAATTTTGGGGCCTGTTTGCTGGTGCAGGACCAGGAGCCATGGCAGATGCTGCATGCATGGGAGACCCAACCTTATGGGCAGCAGGAGTTCTGGGGCCTGCTTTCCGGCATGGGCTTCCAGGAGCTCAATACAGTGGAGCTGCAGGCATGGGGGAACCAAGCCTGCTGGCTTGTACCTTCTGTTACCCATGGAGCAGCAGGAGCCCTAGGTCCTGTTTATGCTGGGTCACCAGTTTCCCTGACATTTCTGGGTGCAGGTAGAAGGTTGTGTAGTAAGGAGGACTGTGGAGCTCTGAGTTCCTGTGTGTGCCAAGAAGCAGGACTTACTGCCAAGCACAGAGTAATGGAGCCTGGAAGCATGTGGACTTCAGGGGCAGAGGATCAGGAGTGTTTTGCTTAGAGTCTTTCTTTCCATTCATCCCATGGTTAGTTGCTTCTCTGTTTGTGGATTCAGAGAGGGCTTTGCATCTTGCTAGTTATGGGACCCTGTGTGTGCCTTTTGGGGTCCCTTGATCTTCCTTCTTCAGGGTAGTTAGCTGCCACTGGGGTATAGGGATGTCAACAATCTGCCATCTTGCTTGATCTCCCACAGGGAATCATTTATACAGGTAAATGATGCTTGTGGAAGTCATGGAAGTGTACAGCTGTGATGTTCTCAGGAGGATACAACATCTTTCAGAACTTAGAAGCCAGCTCAACAAACTCTGTTGGAAGGTAGACCTATTCTGGAAGTTGTTTGAAAATTTTTTGGAAGTCATATTTTTCTAAAGATCATTTGGAAGTGATCTCTATGAGCAGGAAGACCTTTCTGTCTTGGTTTTTCTGTAGCATTTTTGTCTCCCTTAGTTTTTAAGAACAAAAATCTTGTAAATAATATAAGTAAAAATTCTTTTCAGATCTTCCTTGGGTGTCTGTGCTCGAGATGAGAGAAGCAAAAGGATATTGCCTCTGACAGTGTGCAAGATGCATGTTCTCCACTGTCAGGGTAGGAATTACACTCTCACTGGTAAGGGAAGCTGTACTCTGCCTGCCTCAGCCAAGAAAGCTTGTGGTGCATGTCCACTATGGGGAAAATGTGATGGTAAGGAACATTTTGTATATGTAACTATAAAAATGCTAAAATAATAATACTGAGATTTCAAACAATGTAGTTTCTAGTTTGGCAGTTGATCAAAGCAGACACTCAAAGATGTCAAAGACTCAGTCTGGTTTGAAAGTGAACTGCCATCCCCTCTTCCTTTCCTGCAGAGGGGTGCAAATCAGATACTTAAGAAGTCAGGAATCCATTCCTGATGCTCTCAATAGTCTTCCAAATCTCAGTGATTCCTATTCCATCTTTATGATTTTTGCTCTGTTTTTGTATCATCCTTATCATGTACTCATTTTAAAAAAGACTCAAATAAGATAACTTTTAGTAAATGAAAACTTTATGTTACACCCCTAAAAAAATATATTACTTACCATAAGTATTAGGTAACTACAGAAATATGTATAGTGGAACAAAAAAGTTGTGATCATATTTCTCTGTTATAACAAAGTTTATGTAGTATTACAGGGCTGTTAAAAACATACTAGTACCAATCTGACACTTCCTCCTAGAAATAATCAGAAACATTTGAAGAGAATAGAGAAAGGAGTTACTCTTCAAATTGTGATTCACTCTTTGCTAAGGTTGTTTCCAGTTGGCATTGATAGTGATCTTGAATACCAAAAAAGGCACATGTTCCACTCATGGTTTGCCAATACTGTGAAAGGGAAGGGCTGGGATGCTGGAGCCAGGTCTTTGCCTTGGGTTTCTCTATCTATAAATTTGGGAGAAGGTCTGTGCCAGTTCTTTACTCCTTTCTGTCCTGGACTGTACCTGCTGGCATTTTCCCCTTTACTTCATCATGATTTGCAGCACAGCTGATGACACATGTAACTCCAGCCAAGGCTGTGTCATTTTTGATTTGGTGGTTACCATCACCCACTAGCTGACCTTGCTACTCTGTTTCTAGAGATACCTTGCTGTTCTATTCCAGCCACACCCCATTCACATATTTCCTCCCCAGGTCACTTCTGGTTTGCTTTCAGAGGCTATGTAGTCCTTTGTGTGTCATGCCTTCTCTCTCAAAGCAAGTTTAATTTTTTATTTCTCTGTCTTTGAGTCTTGACTCTGTGCTTTGCTGAAGTCTTCTCATTTGGTTGGGGGTATGAAGGATTACATTTGATTTCTGTCTCCCATGGATGGCAGTGTGTGTGAGGAGAGAGATGAAGAGCTCTTGACTTTTATAGAACTGCCTCATGTGGGTCCAACCAATAGAAAGCCTGGCACCTACTTCAACACTCATTTATTCCTAGTAGAGCAAAATGGCTCAATTTCCTGATCTTACTGCTCTTCCAAGGGATACTTCATTGTATTGCTCAAGGCAGGAGCTCACTAATGACCATATCATTGCTTTGGAGGTGATGGCTTTCACTCTCCTATCTCCACGATGTGCCATTAAGCCTCTCTCCCTTTTTTTTTTTCCAGCCCAGAGTAACAAATGTGTCTGCCGTGAAGCATCTGAGTGTCAGGAAGAGGGGTTTAGCATCTGTGTGGAAGTGAATGGTGAGGAGCAAACGATGTCAGAGTGTGAGGCGGGCATCTTGAGATGCAGTGGGCAGAGCATCTCCATCACCAGCATAAAGCCCTGTGCTGCAGAAACCCAATAGGCTACAGAGGCCCTTGGTCAGCTTGTTTGGAATCCAGTGGGCAACTGGAGATGAATTAAAACATTTGCACAAGTGAGGACTTAGACTACTTTTCCAGATGAAGGCACTTTCTTTTTCTCCTCTCTCTCCAGTATATACTTCTCTCTTCAACTCTCAGCCACCTATGTAAATAAACTCTTTATTCTCCCAAACCTGAGTCCAGACACTCTTTTCTTCTTTTTTAAATAACAAGATGAAGAATATTCATGAACCATTGCACAAGCCAGCTGTTTGTTCTTGGAAAAAATTCTCTGGACTTTGACTCTTTTTGTTTATAAAATTGGAAGGTTAGACTAAATACATTTGCATGCTCCACTCATCCCTATGATTCTATTAAGTATGATTGAGCCAGTCCATGGGCCAGAACACCCTCTACGAATTGATTAGGAAAATAGAAAGAACACAATTTCCTGATTAGAGAGGTTGGCTTCCCTCAGTGAAATCAAACACAAAAAGAGACAGATACAATTATTTCCATCCTGAGTTGTAATGTCACGCTTCACTCTACTGAGTCAACCACCACATGTAGGGATCCCTACTCTTGTCAGGAGATTGAACCACTTAAATGTCAGAGCAGAATCCATCTTGCTGTGGTCACAGGGCACCTTCTGCCTTCTTGTCTGACAATAAATATGATTCAGTCTTTTGGGGGCTTTTCTTTAGTATGTCCAAATACAAGACCTGGAATTACCCTCTCCCTGTTTTGGAAAGAAGTATCAGTTTATGTCAGAGCTACTGAGTGATGCATATTTGAGAATAATCTTCCCTATGTGGATACATTCCAAGGTTTTTCCAGACATATACAATTTCCAGAAGTATACAATTTAGCTTTCTATTTATTCCTTATTCTTCTCTCATCAAAATAAAAAAGGAACTGTAGGAAGTAAAATGAATGGGCTTAAGAAGAATTTAAAATATGCTTTTTTATACAAATACTACCTCCATGGTTTTTTTTTCCTGAGACTGATAAGTACATTTCAAACAAACTTTGGTTAGGATGATAAGGATCAGAAAACTTATTAAAACTACTATTCTTTTTAATCTGTATAGTATTTCATTTTAGAAAATATTTCCATGAGGAATGCTTAATGTGTTCTTGCCTGAAATTTTATTCTGATCCAGATTTAGCTTTTTATTCCAAGGTGTCACTTGAGGGAAGCTGTAAATGTAATATGTGAAAGTTACAGGAGACAGGTTTCAATTTATTGAAAGCAATGACATTTAAAAATGCCGACTCCATTTGTTAGAGGTTATTATGGAGTTAATTTTTACTCTGGCTAAGGGAACAGACTTGAATATGCCAGGCTTGGATGCAAACCCTGAGATGAAGGGCTGAATAAGGAACGCGTGTGTAAGAAGCAATGTCAGTATCCTTCCAATTTCTCCTATTTATGTAGGCTAGTGTAGAGTTATTTCTATCGATTATGTATCATCAATATTATGTGCTATTAGAAATTGAGATCTGAAATGAAGAGACTGAAGGCTGATTATCTCTAATCTGAAAATCCAAAATCTGAAATGCTCTAAAGTCTGAAACTTTTTGACTTCTGACATGATGCTGGAAAATTTCACATCTGACCTCATTTGAAAAGTCATAACCAAAACACAGATGCAGTCAATGTACAATATAAGCCTATTTGGAATTATCATAATGAATCCCTCCTATATAATGAATATATCCTAATTAAAAAAAATATATCCTAATTAAAATGCACCTACAGGTGCATTAAAAATATTGTGTAAAAGTACCTTTGGGTTATATGTTTTAAGTGTATATGAAACACAGATGAAAATCAATGAAATAATATATACATATAAATAAAAGTACAAAGTAAAAATTGTGCTAAAGTAGAAGGCAATAATAAAATAAAAATGCATAAATGATGGCCTGGGAATGAGGACTGGAGGCAGAGTGCCTGCCTGGCAAGTGCAAGGTCCTTAGTTCAACCCCCAGCGCTGTTAAAAAGAAAGAATTTTTCTGTTTAGACTTTGGTCCTATCTCCAAAATATCTCACTATGTGTCTGCAAGTATTCTAAAAATAGAAAAAATCTGAAATCACAAATTCTTCTGGTTCCAAGAATTTTGGATAAGAGATACTCTAACTTAGCAGATTTGATAACTATGAGATTGAAAAAGAAGTTCCAGCAGAGTTACGAAAGGAGAATTAAAGAGCTGATGAATTGTTTCAGGATAGGAACAGTAAATGTTGAAGAGAGATATTATTTTGAAATACTATATTTTGTGCCTCTTTTTCTTTTCTTAACATTCTTATACATACTAGGCTTTACTCAAGTCAAACAGGAACATTCACAATTACTTGTAGAGAATTAGGATTGCTGCTACAAGTCTGCAAGGAAAACATCAATTTTAGCTTTCAGTCTTCAGAAATATTTAGACATTTCCAAAGTAGTTCTTTATAAAGGAAAGCTGGGGGGGGGTGTTATTTATGTCACAAAAATAAATTGCAAAGAGAACAGAATGAGTGTGAGAATCCCCTCTGCTTGCTTTTCCCTCTGTCTTAAACCAGGTGAGGGTCACCTGAGCTAGGATGGGATACAGCCAAGGGAAAGGCTGAAAGTAATGCTGAAATTAAGTCTGCCTGGACCTAAGGGAGAACAGAAGAAGGGGAAGAAATTGTCTGATGCGTTAACTACAACTAGTCTTAGGAAGCTAACATGGGAGACAAGGAATATACTATGGACCTTCACTTATGTGGACACTGCAAGTTATTGGACGGAGACTGCTTGGGAAGATCTTCTAATGGTATTTGGGGGGATGCCTTCTTGTGACACAGTTCCTAAGAATTGGTCAACAAAAGTACTGCCCTTAGGATTCATGAGCCTATCCAAACTGTTCTGCATATAACCTCTACCCCGCAACCTCTCAGGTGAGGAATAATCGGGGTGTGGAATGGCAAGTAGGAATATGTGACAAATGACTCCTGGACCACTGGGTTATCCCGCAACTATCCAGGTAGCTAGCTAATTTGATTGAGGGTGTTCCTCTCATCTGGACAGATTATGGCTAATCTCAGTCTCACATGAGAATTGTGAATCCATTCAATTGTTGGGTAGATAATTAGAGTTGCAGGTGCTGGGCATCTGGGTTACTCAACATTCACTGAAGTGTATTATGGGCCTGCACATAAATCATTAATCACTTTTCCTTTGGATAATGTGTATTAATCAATATATTTGGACCCATGGTTTATTATTTGCTGTATATTTTCTATTTCAACCCAACTTTCTCATTCTGATATACACACGTGCTAAACCACTGTATTAGTTAGCTTTCCATTATTCTAATGAAATACCCAAGGCACAATCAATTTGTAAGGAGAAAATACTTTGGCTCATAGTGGAGATTCCAGTCCAAAATTAATTGACTCCATGGATTTGAGCCTCTGATGAGGGTGGCACATTGTGGCATGAATGTGTGGCAGAGCAAAACCACTTAGTTCAAGAGCCAAGAAACAAAGAGTGAAGAGGAAAAGATTAGGGTCCCACCTTCTCCTACAGGACACACTCTCAGTGACCTAAGGATCTTCCTTGAGGTCCTACCTCATAAAGGTCCATAGCACCTCCCAATAACTCCACCTTGGGAATCAAGTCTTTAGTACACGATCTTTGGGAAATACTCACCAAAATCATAGCACCCACAATAGGCATTAGTATTATTTGGAAGACCTGTATAATAGCTAGTGGAGATGGTCATTATAAACCTGAAGAGTAAGATGCTGCATCTTCTGGATATAAGATGAACTAGTTGTTCGGGTATAGCTGCTACATTTCTGTTTCTGAGCTAGGAAGGAGTAGATGAAGAAGGGAAAAGGGGAGAGAAGAGAGAAGGAGAGGAGAAGAGGAGGGGAGAGAAATTAGAGATAAAAGAGAGACAAAGAGTTTGGGCCATTCTTAGAACAGGTTTGGAAGAACTGAATAGCTACATTAGTCCTGCTCCCTGCCAGTCCAGGGAAAGATTTTTCTTTCCTGATGTACTGGTTAAAGTGTATTCAATACTTGTACTAAAAACAGAATGTCACTGTGTCAGAAAGCAACCTCATAGGAGGCAATTTCCGTTAATGTCGAAACGAGAGAGGTTTATGCCTGCCTTTCAATTACTTTGGCCTTTTAGGCAGTTTGCACATTTGGGGACAAGACAGCTGATGGCATGATAGGACAACCTGCAGTGGCAGCCAAAGAACTACAGTTTGTCTTTTTATTTATTTATTCCTGTCAGGCTCTGAAGGCAAAGCTACAGATTTATGAATTCCGTAGAAAAACTTGCTTTCTCAGCAAGGGTTAATGAGACCAGATAGAAAGACTATCATTGTTTCGGAAGAGGTGGGCTGGAGGTGAGAAGGTGGGCAGGAGAAGAAAAGAACATTAAAATTTTTTTGATTCACAGGTTGAAGACAATTTCCTGTGAAACATTAAACATTAAGAACTGCTTTGCTGAGTTATCACTGTTGTTTCCATGCATTCCTTTGAGAGGAGACTTGTAACTAAATTACAGAGGAGGGGCCTTAGATGCATAACAGATCAATGATGGCCAAGAACAAGGAAAATTGCCTAGAAAGAAGGCACATATATAATGGTGACTTGGAGGTTAATGACTTAATAATGAGCTGATCAAATGAGTTGGGAACACAGAGAAGTCAAAAGAATTTTCAGCAATAGTGAAATGGAATTTTCCAATCAAAGGAAAATTTGGCCTGATATCCTCAGGAGAAAGTGATTTTCATGAAAGCCTCAGGGTTAGTGTATTATTAGACCATATATAGCCAAAGGGCATATTATGACAATATTTCATAAGTGGCCACAACTCAGTGATGTGTTCAGAAACTCTTTTCTGCCAGATAAAACCAAGAGCAACTGCTGAGGTCGACAGAATATAAAGCTAAGGGCAAACCCACTAATTAGACTCTTCTGGCCCTGTAGGGTTAAACAGCTTTGGAATGATG